CTTTAAGTAATAATATTAATAAAAAATTATTACTTCAATACTGATTTTAATACTATTTTTTTTAAAACGTGTGTACAATATTCCATATTCCATACGAGTAAAATAAAACTTCGAGATACTCATACTTTTTTCCAAGATAAAGTCATACCTGAAAAGATTGACAATAGTGTGACAATATACAGGGTGTCCCAAAAGTCCCTTCCACCCCCTCTAAAATTTTACCTAATTAATATTTTGAAACGAAACTTTGGGGATGTTCATCGATCAATGTAAGCTACTTTTGGGGCCCTCCAAAATTTTCGGGGCCCCCCGTGGGGAGGGGCTGCGGACCCCAACTTTTTTTTTTCAAACAGCAACCCCTATCTTGTGATACCTCATTCGAAAGAGCATAAAAAACTAAGAATTTTGGCGCAAACCGCAGATCAATATCTTAATTTTTGACCGAGTTATGATAGGTCAAAGGTCAAATTTGACCTATTTTTAAAAAATCATAACTCACGTTCAAATTATCGTAATGAAAAAAATAAAACGGGAAAATTTACCACATTGTAAGCACTTTTAAGAAAAAATCACAGAAATTACTTCAAACTAATTTTAAGGGGGGTTTCGGACCCCCAAATACGCCAATTCAAGGGTCATTCAATTTTCCCGCGAAATAAGCCAATTTCCCCCAGATTTGCCTCCACATTAGTTCAGTAAGGTCAAAATCAGTTCAACATTACGTTGGCAAGTCCCCAAATTTCGGGAAAAGTTAAAAAAAAAAATTTAAACGGTCAAATTTAATCACCTTTAATTTCCTTTTTTTTTTTTAACTTTTCCCAAAATTTGGGGACTTGCCAACGTAATGTTGAACTGATTTTGACCTTACTGAACTAATGTGGAGGCAAATCTGGGGGAAATTGGCTTATTTCGCGGGAAAATTGAATGACCCTTGAATTGGCGTATTTGGGGGTCCGAAACCCCCCTTAAAATTAGTTTGAAGTAATTTCTGTGATTTTTCCTTAAAAGTGCTTACAATGT